AATGGATCATGCAGAGACTGCCTGCAACAGCCCAATTAAGAGACCACGGCCGTTGTCTGAAGAGAGGATATGAAACCCTGGACGTAGTCCAGGCAACAAGAAGAGAAAGGAAGGGGTGGATGAAAGACACATCACAGAGAGGGAGTCAAGAGAACTTGTCGATTGAATATAAAAGATAAGCTAAGAAAAAGGGAAAGTCAAAGGGAAGCCCCAACGCTTTAAGTCGAGGCGACTATTGGCATACTGTATTTGTGGATTAGAGACAGGATGAAAAGGGAAATGTACTAATGCACATGTAATTGGAATTCTCTCTTCTTGTTTTCATGTGGAAAGCAGAAATAAGGTAGCAATAGCACTTCAGTCGTTTGACTTGAAGACACGTTCGTACCAGGGCAGCCCGATCTGAGTAGTTTGATAGGCTCTGAGGAGTGTGGGTGTGAACAACTTGTTTTGAAAAAGTGGGGCTTTGATTTGGAGGGAGGGAGAGGGAGAGAGTTGGGCATATTTCTCTATAACTATTCTTTCTGTCTTCTTTCTGGGACCCAGTGGGATGCAACCCATTTTTAGCTTAGTACAGTGATTCCTCGCACTTGCTGTGAAAGTAAAAATGTATTCACCTGAGAAAAGGCCCAGTTGTGGCAGACCTGTAGCCAGAAAAGGGTTCAGAATGATTTTCAGCCATGAGTTTGCATCGTCCGGTTATCTCAATAGCCATCTGGAGAGTTAAAAAAATTATCCAAATTTAAGAAATTAAAAAGTAACTAGACCAGGCGCTGTGGCTCAAGCCTGTCATCCCAGCACTTTGGGAGGCCGGGGTGAGAGGATTGCCTGAGCCCATGGGTTCAAGAACAGTCTGGGCAGCTTGGCGAGACCTCATCTCTACAATAAATCAAAAAAGTTAGCCAGGCGTGGTAGCGCACGCCTATAGTTCTGGCTACTTGGAAGGCTGAGGCAGAAGGATCGCTGGAGCCCAGCAGGTCGACATTGAGGTGGCTGTGAGCGTGCCACTGCACTCCAGCCTGGGCGACGGAGTGAGACTCCAACTCAAAAAAAAAGTAACTAATTTCCTACGGAACATTTAGGATTGTGACAGCAGCCCTGAAATGGAAAGGAACAATGATGAGTTGCTACCACTTCTAAAACTTTGAACTGAGTTTCTTCCGTGTTGCTTGGCTTACCAAATGGTGCCCAAACTATAATTTATAATTTGTTCTAATTCAATTTTCCAGTAACTTTCTAATTGTTTTTTCTGGAGAGAATATATATATATGAGGAAAGGGAGAGAAACTGATAAATTAATGAAAAATAGCAGGTAATTGTTATTACCTGAAAACACACACACACACAAACACACACACAAATATTTTTAAAAGAAAATTTCTACAACAATAAAAGGAATCAAATACTACAGAAATAAATTTATATCTATTAATGTTCTGATTATTTGAGACTTTTGAATCCTCCATTCATAATTTTCAGTTTGTTCAACATCCTTTTGTGTTTTAATAAAACAAAATTAATCAGTCTAGTCATGGGGTAGAGAAAGCCATTTCTCTAAAGCAGTGTACCAACAAAATGCAGTAAACTTGAATAAAGTATGTTTCCTGGCCCCACAATAGAGCCTCTGAAACCTTCTGGTGTAAATTACTGAGAAATGCTATCCCACTGTGGTGAGACTGCTGGGGAATGGCTTGTGGGCACCTGGTAGTCCGCGATGATTTTGTGTATCCTCGGCACCAAAAAAAGAAACATCATAGTGCAAAACCCCAAAGGAAACCAAAACCCAAACTGATACCCAGCCATCGGTGCCCGTAGTCAAGGAGTGAGGGTTTTCCTTCTTTAAAAAATTCCATTTGGCCTCTGCTTCTTTCCTTGTGCTCTGTCCTTTGAAATTGGTAAATTTCATTCGTCTTTCTAGATGTTTAGCTCTACCTGCACCGGCCCTCTAACATTATAAATGTATAACATTATCGTAATATGCAACATTAAGTCATCATGAATACAGTCATTCCCCTCACGGGACGCAGCTTTGCTCTGTGAGGCTGAGTTATGCATGGTCATCTGTGGTCATCCTTGGTGCAAAAAATGAAATGAAAAATTCCCGCAACAAGCAATGAAATGAAAATTCCTTGGTGCAAAAAATGAAATGGAAAATTCCAGCAACAAACAATGTGTCAGTCTCACATCGCCCACCGTCCTAAGTAGCATGGTGGAATCTCACACCGCCAAGCTCCACCCCACCTGGGTCACGACTCACCCCTCTGTCCAGCATGTCCCCTTGGCCACACAGGGGTCAGCTCAGTTGTCAGATAGATTGTCACGGCATCTCAGTGCTTATGTGCAATTCACCCTTATTTTACTCACTGAGGCTGCAAAGTGCAAGGGTGGTGATGCTGGCATATCATTATAATGGCTCTATCTTATTATTAGTTGCTAACTTTTACTGTGCCTACTTTATAAAGTAAACCGTGTCATAGGTCTGTACGTACAGGAAAAACAGTATATGGAGAGTTCGTACTATACTCGGTTTCAGACATCCACTGGGGTCTTGCCTCCAGGAATAAGGGGAGACTACTGCATGCGTCATAGTTTAGACTGGATCCACTGTGCATAGATCGATGTACTCATATGGCATTTCAGATAAACATGATGCCAGGAAGGCAGCCAACCTGCCAGTGCTGCTGGTCATACCCCTTTCCCTCCTCCTGATACTTAGGGTCACACACAAGGGCTTTGACAATTGCAAGATTTCTAATTAAAGCACACTGATAGTCTTGCTTTCCACCTCCTTGAGTTCCTACCTGTAGGCATATCCTATTGGATGTCAGGGTACTTAACAACTGCCCGGACAGGGTGAGAACCTGATCAGGAGTAGGCTGTCAGAACACATGTGGAACAGATACTCTCCTCACACCCAAGCAGGCTTCTGCTTTCCGTGGTCATCAACCCAAGGAAACTACTGTGTCTGCTTCCTTCTCTTGTGATCACTGTTCTCATCATTGTTAAAGGCAAATGAAATATTAAATTCCTGGGCTGAAACTGGATTGAAACAAATGAGAGTTTGTTTCTGGCTTAGCCATGATTAACTTTTTCTATGAAGGGATTGTTTTCTCTTGTGAAGTAAAGAATTATAGGAATGTGTGTGATTAATTTGAGATGTCGCTATTTTTACACGTTACAGAAAATGGCAATTTTAGCATAACTACCAAATAAAAAAGGTTAGGCATTGGAGACCTAGATAGGTGCCTTCTTTTGTAACAATCTCTCTCATGCACCGTGAGTAAATCAACTCACTTGACTGCCCCTAATAACCTAAAGGTGTTCTTGGGAAACTCACAGAGTTATGTATATGAAGGCAATAAAGTTGTATCAGGACTTTATCATTGCAGGGTATTGCGGTACCTCTTACTGTACAATTATTGTTCACTGCTACTTCTACCACCACCACTAAAAAATGGTATGGCTGGAATCTGCCTGTGCTAAAAAGACTAGAACGTGTCCGTATGCCCACAAGATCAGTAGCTTTTTGCTATGAAAATTCTCGCGTGCAGATTTTAATCCTGTCAAATGGGTTGATCTTTTCCTTTGCTAATAGATTCTTCATTAAGTTTTAAATAAAGAACAACAGCATTGCTGCTCACTCTCGAGACATAGCTTCGACCTTCTAAACCACTTACACGCCGAACAAGATGGAATATGGGGAACAGGAAATATTATGGTTGAAAACCTTCAGTATCCCAGCTGGATCCTGGCTTGGCTTGTGTGTGACCTTTAGCAAATCACTGAGTGTCTCTGACTCAAATTTTCTCTAAACTTAAATTGACAGTATTTAACTTACAGGACGGCTAGAAAAATCGCACCTTAATAAAGCATTGAAAGATTTTTAATAAGCACTTTATTTTCTAATGCTTTATATGAGTTGTTGGTAGAACAGTTACAACTCAACTCCCCATAGAAAGTTAATGCAGTCAATTCTTTATTTAATAATATAATCCTTACAATGTGTACAGAAGGGGACTCCCCCAAAACCAGAATCTATTCACTTAAAAATTGTATATTTATTTGTACATGTTTAGACTTCAGTTGCCTTCAAAGGACTCTGCGTTTGATGCAATACACATTTTGAGATGCTTTTTCCACTGCTCAAAACAGTCTTTGAATTGTCCATTTTGATGCCTCTTAGAGCTTCTGCTGTTTTTGGTTTCACGTCTTCCACTTTGGCAAAATGTTTTCTTTGGAGGACTTGAATCATCTAGGGAAACAAAAAAAAGTCACTTGGGGCGAGAGCAGGTGAATAGGGAGGGTGCGGCATGGGGGTCATGCCACTTTGGTCAAAAACTGCTGAACACTCAGTGCAGCGTGGGCAGGTGCGCTCGCAAATCGCCCATCATGAAATGGGCAAATGTGTTGAAAGAACCCACCACCACCCCCGACTTCCCTGATACTGCACGCAGCCTCCCCTAACAACGCTAGATGATACGCTCATGCCAGTGGGTTCCTAGAACATTTTCCTAGCGGGGAAAGCCTGTACTACAAAGGGCCCTGCCCTCCAGAAAATAAAGCCAGTGTTTTGAGGGTCCCCTTTGGTCTATGGAAAGAAAAAGGAGACAGGAAGGAATGGGGGATAGCTCATCATTTTATGCCATGTGCCGGGGAGGCGTGAAAAGCGAAATCATAAAGTCAAGAAGCTTAAACTGCAATTTCAAATGAAAAATAGCTACCTGGTGTTGGCATTCTCTGATCTCTAAAAATATTTTACAGATAAAGAACTTAGAGAGTATAAGCTCTAAGAATTCAGAGGGAGCTTCTTTAATTAAGGGACTGTGATCCCTCCATGGCTGCAAAAGTCTTGGATGACAGGAAAACACCTGATCTACCTTTCAGAAGTACTGAATATAAAATAGCATGCCACTGTAATTTTTCACCCTTCCTTTGCTTTGTGCAGCAAACACGAAGTCATTTGGGGCTCCTTGTAACTCTTTGTTCCTTTTTGTCCGTAGGAGTTGTACGGATGTTCTGTGCTGCATGGTATTCCTACTGTTCATTGCTGGCTACATTCTTTTAGGACTTGTGGGTGAGTAAACGCAGGTATAGAAAATACTTAACATTTGCTAATGGAGTCACTAGGTCAATGACATGTTCAAAATTAACTGTTTTCTTCTAAAACTTTCCTTATTATTGATTGCTGTCATTTCTGCAGGGAATGAGCCTTACTGAGTAGCAGACAGAATAAAAAGTAAACACAAAACAGCTTAGTCAAAGGCAAACTTAAATAACTTCAGTAAAGAAGAAAAAAAACTTATGTTTTCTCTTTAATCCTTGTTACTTTTGAAATTCAACTAAGCAATTGACTACGTTCATGTTGCTATTTACTAATAAGAACCAGGACCTAGATCAGTTTAGTCACTATATAAACTTCTTTTTATGAGCAAGTATTAAAAGGAGGAAAAATTATTAAGAATTCAAAAAACTAAGACAGGAAAATAGGAAGGGAGCGAAAAAGGTGCATAAATCACAAAAGTAAATATTACACTTTTCTAAGGTCTTCAGAACATTCTTTGGTCATTTCTTAAAGGACTTTAGCTTCTAAACATTAATGTCATTGTAGCACAACATATAACCTAAATTAAATATTATGACAAAATGGATTTTCTTAGGAAACAGAAAATGTTATCGTCTCTAACTTTTGGGCACCTCTTTCTTATCTATGTGATGTTTTGTGTTTTCACTTTTCATCGTAGAGTTTAAATGTGTTGCGTGAGAGAAAGAAGGTTTGGAATTGGGCAGATTTAGAGGTTTCTCATATTATCTGATGAGCGTAGGCTGGTGACTTGACCTTGGTTTTCCCACCTGGGAAATTTGGAAATCTGACTTACTGCCCAAAGCTGTTATGAGGAGTAAATGAAAGCGCACCGGGCCGCACCCGTCATGCCGCATAATAGTTCTGGGCCGTCATCTGTTTGCTGCCGTTGTACAACCTAGTTGTTCTGCATTTTAATAAGTTTATTTTAAATATGTTTACCATATTGTTTCTACAGCAACCCATAATCTAAAAGTGTGAATGCACACAAGAACTTCACAGAGATCTCATCCTGTGACCGAATCTTTTTACTAAGGGGCCTGACTCCATAATTAAATAAGTCTCTCCTCCATGCCTAAATCGAGTCTGCTGCAGTCCACAGAGAAATGCTTCTTGTCCTCATATCGAGTGGGGAAAAACCATAGCCACTCTCCTGTAGACACAATAGAGCTGTGCATACCATTATTTCCTCTGGAGCAAGATGAGAAATTTGCCTTTTTGTTCATGAGAGTCAGCTTCCGTTTGTAAATGTCTTAATTCGCCTAAGGAAATTGGAGGACAAATGTTTCTCAGTGAAAAGCTATGTGCAAGATTAGATTAATTCAGTGATACCTTCAAATGAATCCCAACACCACGGATTAAAACGAGTGACTCACAAGATTTACTAGTGTACTTACGTTCCTCATCCCTGAATTACAAATAGCATCACTGGCTTGTTTCCAAGATAAACTTAACTCTTCAGTTATAGCCAATGTTGGACTAAAAGAGGCATGAAGGAAAACTACTGGCAGAGGTTACTAGAAGCATTAAAAATTTTTTTAACATGAAAAAACATATACACTTTCACTTGGGTAAAAAGGGTGCTAAATGAGTTTCACTGATGGCATGAGAATTTTGGCGCCTTCTGCCACCTTTATGAGCTCAGTAACTTCCTAGACTTATCTTTCATCCACGATCTTTTCATAAAGAAGTGCTACCATGGAAGAGCCATGCTTCTCACAAAACCTGCTGACAAGGAACTGTTCCTTGCCTTTTATGTGGAATATGGCCAGCTAGGGTGATATCTGAATGCAATAGACACTTAACATTCAACTGAAGAAAAGAAAGCAGAGATCTCTGTTCAAATACCTGCAGTAGAGGTTGGGAAGAAGATAACCACACCTTCTTGGACGATCAAACTAGCATTTATGATATCAGCCCTCCTTTTCCCACTTCATTGATGGTTGCTATTAAATTATTGTATGAACTAGAGAAAAGAAGAAGAATAGTGCTATGCTTTTTCCTTTGGCTAGCATCAGGTATACAAAATAGCACAATTGTAGCATTCAATACGTTTTTATTTTGTTTTCTTTTTAAATGGACGTCCAGTGGAGCGGTTTAGTTTATTGTTGTCTTTACTTAGGAAGTACTTGAAGTTGGAGTCCAAAGTTTGTTTGTTTTTGTTGTTTAATCTTTCCCAGGGGTAATTATCTCTATTAACGGGGAAGGTAAGAAGTTAACAAGAAAGTTAATGCAAATAAGCCCAGAACTATCTCCATGCTGAGAGACACCCAAGCTACAAGGAGGAGCCACCAGTAGGGGGGCCTCGCCAGCAGGCTCAGCTGGGCTTCCAGGGATAATTAGTGTCCACCAGCAGCCCAGATGGGCTTTCAGATGACGGACGCCTCAGTCAACATCTGACAGCATGAGAGATCCCAAGGGAGAGCTAAGCCTTTCCCCAAATTCCTGACTCCTAAAGCATAAACAAAATAAAATTTTTATATTACGCCACTGAGAACAAAATTTGGTACCTGGAGTGGGACTCTGGCTTAACCAAACCTAAAATCCAGGCATGGGCTTTGAGACCAGATGGTGTGCAGAAGCCCAGTGGGTTTTGAGGAGGCTGTCAGTGAGAGTGGGGAGGACACCGCTCGGAAGCAGGGTAGGGGTGACAAGTTCCGCAGCACTGCTGCTATGGGTGATGTGAGAAGTAGCAGGCGCACCTGAGGGCTCAGTGATCTGACTAAGGGGATCATCCTTGGACAAGGAGCCAACGCCGAAGAGCCCTATCCACATCTGGACTTGCGTTAGGAGACGAGATCCTGATACTGCAGCTGGATGAGGCTGCTGGGATCTTGGGAGAGGATACAGGTGTCTGCGTTTGGAGAGAATGTTCAGCAACGGGGGCCAGAGGTAGTTTTAACACATGGCTGCAAATTCTTTGTCATTCTTCCCGTGGAGAAGTGAGGTCTGTGTTCCTTCCTCTGGATTCTAGTCAGGCTTGTGATTGTGATTGCCTCCCTAACAGAGAGATGAACTAAGCCAAAGAAGGACAGAAAAGGGCCTTGACGTGCACGTAATTTATAGAGCAGTCCAAAGGATTCAAGGAATGCCACCATGGCTTCCTGGAGACTGTAGGCCGGAAAGTAGGGGAAAAGGAGGCTTACATAATTCAGCTTTAAATCCTTCATGGGGTTGTATAGAATAAACAGAATGGTTAATGATAAAGTGGCCAAATGTGGCCTCGTCATTTCCAAATTGGACTCCACTCTTGAAGTACATGTTCAAGTTCATGTTCAGGGCAGTAACAGGTGCACGTGTCTGTTTTTCCATCCTTAGGGAAATCCAGCATAGCACACTCTTTCCTCACTGGAACTGTCCAAAAACACCCAGGAGAGAGCTGTCCTAGTTCCAGTTTCTAGGTGGAGAGAGAGACCTCACAGTGGAAAGGAGCTCTGGCGTGGTGGTTGTACCATCTGGCATCATTTCATGGTCCATTGCCCGTCTAGCTCTTTCTGGTACTGAAGTGGCTTCCTCTACCAGAACCCAGGGTTAAGGCTCTGCATGTCTTCAGCATTGCTTAGCCGCTGTTCCCTGAAACATGCCCCAAGGGCAGAATGATTGCGTCCACAATGGCTTCTTGCTTCATCAGAAGCAAGTCTGACTCCAGGGCTCTGCTGCTAAACCTTGACACCATCCCAGTGTCTCTCTTCATGGGACGTTCCCTTTGGAGGTGTTTTCATCCTTTTGGGCCAACAGATCTAGTTCAGGGCCAATCTGATCTATCCTCAGTTGAAATCTCAGGGAGAAAAGTTTGAGGTCTTGTTACTTCCTTCTCTTAAAGCAAATGGGTCTTTCTGCATCCCAAGGGATAGGAGGAAGGAAAAAATCACATTTCCATAACTAAGAGAGGTCACTCAAGTAACCTACTGAAGAAAAAAGATAATTCCAAGATGATTTTAAAATTCTGTTCATACAAGTAAGCAGTAAACTGTTTATCTTATTAATAAATGAACACATAAATATAAAATTTTAATTTATCTTTCAGGTTTGTTGATAATTGACAAATTAAAATGCAGGTATTTAAAGTGTACAACATGGGGTTTTGATATACATATATTTTGTGTAGTGATTCCCACAATTAGGCTAATGAACGTATCCATCACCTGACCTAGTTACTTTTGTGTGTGTGCGTGTATGTTTGGTAAGAACACTAAGAGCTACCCTCTTAGCAAATTTCAAGTATCCAGTATTAACTATAGTTAATATTCTACAGATGGTCTCAGAAGCTATGGATCTTATAACTGAAAGTTTATACCCATCAACCATTATCTCTTAATTTCGTCCTGGCAACCACCATTCTACCCTCTGCTTCTATGAGTTTGAATGTTTTAGATCCCACTTATAAGAGAGATCATGCAGTACTTGTCTTTCAAATTTCACTTAGCATAAGGTCTTATTTCACTTAGCATCATGTCTTCTAGGTCCATCTATGTTGTCACAAATGGAAGGATTTCCTACTTTTTTAAGACTGAGTAATATTTTATTTTGTGTATTATACATATGCACACACATATGCTGACACACATGTATTTCTTTACCCGTTCATCTATTGATTGACAATTAGGTTTTCTCCATATCTTCGCTATTGTGACTAATGCTGCAGTGAACATAGGAGTGCAGACATCTCTTCAGCATACTGATTTCAAAGCTACTAAGAAAACGTCCACAAGTGGAATTGCTGGGTCATACGGTAGTTCTATTTATACTTTTGCCAGGAACCTCTATGCAGTTTTCCATAAAGGCTGTACCAACTTACGTTCCCATCAACAATGCACAGGGTGGCCTCTTTTTCACACCCTCTTCTATCCTTAGCTCTTGTCTTTTTTAGATTAGCCATTTGTACTTCACCAGGCATTCTGTGGTTCCAAAATAGGAGGCTGGTGGTGTGACCCCAGTATTCCTTGAAAGGGGAAACTGGTGGTGCAGAATGACTAACAGGAAGTTCCACTGTG